TGGCAAGGTGATGGCTCACGACTTTGGTGTCTATACCTGGCATGTTTGAGGGGGCTGGGAAAATATATTGATGTTCCTTCTGAGTCATTCAACTAGATCCCATTCCTCCCTTGCAGACAATGAAGTACCTATCTTTGGGACTTGATGAACGTGAGGTCCTATTCGGACTTCATTCAAGTCTTCCATCAGCGTGAGTTGTTCCGCTTTTGTGCCCAGTCTTGGGTCCCAACCCTCAAAGTTAGTATTTGCAACTTTAGAAGGATGGGCATCAACAAGGGCAATTCCTTCTCTAGTTGTCTCAGGATGCTCAAATAACACTTGCGAGCCACTTGTTGATCTCCTCGGATGGTGCCCACTCTTCCATCTAAGTGAAGATATCTTAAGGTTAAATATCAAGTGGATACGCCCGCTCTTAGGGCATCAATGGTCGGGTTCCCCAAGATGATGTTTTACGGTGACATGGTGTCCATAATGAGGTAGCTGACATTGATGATTTTGTGTCAACTCCCTCGCCGCAGGTGGTTTCTTGCGTCACATAGCCCATTATTTATACTCGTTCACCCCATAATCTTGTCAGAGAGCTGGTGAACCTCTATAAGATATCCCCAAACATGACATTGATTGAGCTGCCTATGTCTATCAGAATGCGCTTGATATCCCAATTGCCATGTTGAACGATCATGACCAAGGGGTCATTATGGTAAGGGTTGATGCCAATGGAATCTTCTTCATAGAAAATAATGTTGAACCTGGTCGTTCCTATGATGTTTTCCTAAAGGCCAGAGGATATGACGTTTGTCATGAAAATCTGCCTCACGTATCTTTATCGAGCAGCCTTAGAGAGGCCTATCTCGGAGAAACCTCCAGCAATGGTGTTCACTACGCGATGTAGGGATATGTTAGTCATCTCCAAAAAGAAGGGGTGATAAGGTTGGATTTAAATATGTGGACAAGGTTGGTTTTACCTGGCTTCACGGTGGGCGCCAATGTATTGGTAAAAAAGTATAGAATGTGTGTGTTCTCCTTGCAAGGGCAGAGAGATTCAATGGCCCTTGTAGGAATATTACACTTTTGGATAGTGGGGGATTTCTCACGGCGGAGAGTAGCCCTGTATAGTGGTTTTTAAGGCTATTTAAGGGACCTTCTCACATAAGGTGAGAAATTATGTAGGTTACTGACACCACTTAATCACGGACGGGGGAGATTAGGTTAATCATGTGTTATTGTTACAAGGAGCTTGATGCTCTTTTAGATAGTGAAAGATGTGTATGACTTAGAGTCATTCTTTACCCCCTGGAGGGGTGATGTATTTATAGGTGGTTTTCTCGAGAAAGGTCACCACCCACCTAGTCAAGTGATGGACAGTTCAATCCATATTTCCAAGAGAGGCGTGAGTCATTAGCAACTCTGACTCTCTCTTTCTCCAAGACACATATTTCCCTATATTTTTTATACATGGGTGAGGAAGACTTAAATAAGAGGAGATACCTCCCTTCGGGCAACCTTGTGTCATCTCCTTCTCCTAGGGCACCCACGGGGTATCACCCTAGACAAGTAAATATAAGTAAATATCAACTACTAGAATAAATAGCAACAAATATTTAAATCATGTGAAATTTTATATGTATGATTATCTTTGATAATATTCAATAATTCATCAGTCGGATTACTTTAATTTTTTTCTAAACCAATTTTTAACGATGCAAGTATGTTAAGTTTGACGTTGTTATGGGTCAAATATAGATAACATTAAGTTCAACAATTTACTATAGAAGAATTGAAGTGGAAGTGAGCTTGGTTCATTTGAATTTTGTTTTTTGTTAGATCTTCTCAAATTGGACCATCCACCATTATAATTCTTTTTTATCAATTGAATTTGACTCTCATGTTGCACCTTCACAACAAAGTGGATTTTCAAGATTGATGGAATGTAATGACCTAGGGAATTTCTTAAGACACCTTAATCATTGCATCTCCACCCTGGTGAAAAATCAAAACTAACCCTAGAATTCGGAAATGCATCTCCAGATGCCCCTCAATCACCTTCGTGTTACTTACGGTGATGCATCTCTGGACTTGCTTTTAATCAAAAAGGCGTCAAATTCTCTTCTCCTTCCCCACTTCTCAAAATACTCGCTCAAAACTTTGAAAACCTCTCAACTCTTAAACCCACTCTCTACCATCAACATCCAATTGATCAAAGAGCTTATTCAATCTCAAAATAAACTCACATTTGGTAAGTTTTGATTTTTCTATACTTCTTTTATTTCTATACACATTTGTAGAAATTGAGCATTATACTATGTAATAGGTAGTTTAGACATGTTATGTAAATGAGAAATGTGTATGATTTGTAGTTTAAATGACCAATGTATTATTTTGAATGTCAAAATGGACTGCGTTTTCGTCGTTCATGATTTTGAGTTGCAGAACATTACAGATATACATCTCCAGATTATTTCAATGTTTAGATTTCCAGAATTTGGAGATGCATTTCTGAATTTCATATGTATGCATTGTTTGGGTTCATTTCCTTGAGTTTTCATTTGTGTAGTGCTTGTGCGGTTTAATTATAGGAATTATGGTTGATAAACAAGATAGACTGAGACATGACAAAGTTGTTCAACATGCTTCGATTCTGAGGGAAAGAGCTCAATCATCATAGGCACCTGTCAGTTCTAGCCCAATTGATACAGAGACGTCAACTTCTAGGACTGATGGATCTTCTCCTTCATCTTCACGGAGGAGATAAATGTCACACACTAAGGCCCCCGAGGCACCGCATGCACTCGAGGTACCCCGGGAACCCCACGCACCCGAGGTACCCCGGGAAACCCACGCACCCAAGTTAGAAACCACCTGAGTGTGTCATGCTATGTTTTGATTCCTAGAAAAGTTATATACACGGTAGCTATATCAGATGATCATGCTACTGGTGATGATGAGCAGGTTTTATAGCATAAAGCATATGATATATAGTTGTTGTACTTTGTTGACATGTCCAATTTTGTGGACAAGAGTGCCACTTATGTAGATGTGGTTTACTAGATATACTTCGTGACTTGGAGAGGATCCATGAGTGCAATTGGGAGGACGCTTCTTTGGTCTACCTATACTCCAAGTTAGATGAAGGTTATATGTGGAAGACCAAATAGATGAAAGACAACATCACACTATTGACGATAATATTTATGCACCTTTTAGTGTTTGTGTGTCATTTTCGTAAAACTTTTGATATGCCATTACTAATGATTCATATGTACTATTTTTAGGCTTTGATCCTCCAGCACTTCCAATGCAAATCTGGCTAGGCATATGCTCTGACCTACACTGAGTATAAACCACGTGCTTCTGCATTCATCACACTCACAAGGACTCAAGCGACAAAGTCATTCAAAGTGTATCTTGACCGCTTGGTAGCAGATGATATACACTTCCAGGTGTACGTAGATCACCATGAGACGTGTCCCTTAGACGACATAGTCTTCTACTCTGGATGGTTGACTTGCGGGTCACGTATGATTTATCCACATTTACTTAAGAGCATCAAGCGGAAGTTCAGTTACATATGCAGTTTTCTCATAGAGACCCCTTTGATTCGACTCCTCCCGCTATGGCACAGAGATGTAGATGTCATGTTTGATGATTACCTTAATCATATGATACCAAATGAGGCACGGAGTACCATAGCTCCTAACGACTAGAGTGTTGCACATAACTACACCTAGTGATATTTCAGGGTGTCACATCCTTTTATGACACCAGATGCTTCAGAAGATCCTCTTAGGTCAGCTCATCAGGAGATACTAGAGGAGGAGCAGGTTAGGGCAGATCGTGATGTTGATGTGTTGCCTAGATGTCGGTGTATCATGGATATTGGGCAAGCCTATATAGACAAGGGGTCTTTCCTGAAGGCTCTGAGGCGAGGGACATTCTAGATGTCATCCTGAAGGAGGCACGGTCGACACTGTAGTACATGAGACAACGTAGGAACAGGGGGCGAATTCGACATACGCAATAGTATAGAATATTTGTATTAGGAGCACTATTATTAGTTGTATTTTATTTTGACTTCATTATGTATTACAAATTTATACATTTATATATGTCCTTTTCATATTATTCCAAAAGTGTATGATTTAATTTATATAAAATTGAATATGATAGTATAGTTATAAGACATCATCAATTTCATCCGTGTATCTCTAAAATTAAGTTAAAAACAATTGTATGCTATAAATACGAAAATGCATCTCTAGATTCTGCCTAATGTGAATCCAGAGATGCATCTACGGATCAATTTATGTTAAAATGAGGGTGTTTTATTAAAGAATGCATGGGGTGTGTTTGGGATCGATCCGGAGATGCATCTCTAGACTAAATTTTAGAATACACATAGGATGAGACTTAGTTGGGGCATTTTTTTTTTTCTTGCATCTTCAAAATATTTATTCATTATAGACCTCTATATATATTTAATGTCTAAATTATAGTATCACTTTCTATCAAAGAAACTTTTGGCACTGCCCATTCAAACCCCAAGTTTTTAGTTATTTTAATCATTCAGTAATTAGTCATTGTAATGCTCTGAGAATTTATTCTTTGCCTTCTTTTTCACTGCATAGTTAGTGTTTGATTAAATGCACAAATTAACAACAAGTTATAATTTGTTTGTATAATACCCTTTTAATGATCATGTCCATTATTGAAAATACATGCATGACCCTTTTTGTTTATACTTTTACTATGATGCACAATTTACGCCAACCTAAAATTCTAAATAATGAAGAACTTGTTGATAAACACTTGAAATATGATTTTCTTCTTGCTATTGCTCTAGTTTTATTCAAGATAAAACAATTTAAAAATTCCTTTTATTGATAGCTTTATAAACTTGTAAAAAAAATTCTTATTCAATCACTAGATAAAACCAATAGTTGTGGTTTTATCAGAATGATGAAATAGATATATTTGCTATGATTGATTTTGATTAAATGGATCTATAATGTTGGACTGCTTTTAGGAGGTTCTGAAGTGCGGTTGTGACAAGTTGGATTGCAAGGGTACGGACAATCTATCTGTTGGAAAGGCTTCCTGTCATGAAACCAGTCTGCTACAGCATTTGCAATGGTCTGCAAAATGTTCCGCAACGCAGATAAGTTAGTTATTAGTTATTCGACTACATTTGATATGAACAAAACCAAAAGTCACGTAAAATAATTATAAGTTTGGATTCTTTGTTGCGGGCGCAGAGGTGTTGGATTCAGATACAATTGAATTTGGACCTGAATCCAACGACTCTAAAATAGCGTAAGAATTTTGATAGAAAGCTTGTGAAATGTTATTTTTTTTTAGGTAGGAATGAGAATAGGCGATAAAAGAGTGTAGACTCTTACTGTATTGGCCAACGATGGAGAATCACTCCATTGCCATAATTGCTGCAATTCAGTTTGGCAGTGGAGATAGCAAGAGTCTATAAACTCTCCGTTGGATGGAGAGTTTCCTACAACAGACAGTGCTTTTAGGAATTCGGCCCTATAGTCTGAAAATCGAGTGATAGTAAAACTAAAGTTAGATAAATGTTGCGCCGCGCGATAAAAATAATTAAGAACCACTCTAGTCAAAAAGAAAAAAATAGAACATATTACTCACCTTGCACTCGATTTAGTTGATCAGGAGTGCATTGGTTTAAATCTTCCCTGCAGTTATGCCAGTATCTTTTAGGATCAGCATTACTCGTCGCAAAAATGTTCTTAATCTGAATCAAAGAAATATCTTGTGGATCAAGGAAAAAAATTTGTTGGACATCTCATGTTATTAGTTTGAAAATATCAGAAAGAGTGCTAGAGCAATCCAAACTTTTTGGCATCACTACTCAAATAAACGGAGTCGAGTAACAGAATAATCTAACCTGCCATGAGTCGATAGGCGAATTTAAAACGAAGATTGGTGTAGTGATTTCTGATGCAAAATATTGAGGGAAAAAGCACTGTGATATAGTTAAGAATTCAAAAGTATTAGTAACATCACCAAAGAAGGAATTGTAAAGGTAGAAAGAACTATAGTTGAGGACTTAACCAGTTCTGGTTTAAGTTTTGAAGTGCATGATTTCGGCAAATTCTTTGCAGAACCCTAAATAGGAAAGAAAAAAAAATAGTCAGCAGAAATAAAGTTTGCAAAAAGCATCATTCAAGTGATATCTAATGTGGCAAATGATCAAAGATAAGAAGGTTACATGTGTGGTAACAATTTGATTGAAGTAGTCTTCAACATGCGGTTCTCCGGATAAATCTTTTCTGTAATTTACAGTAACATAATGAATCATATAACATGATTTTGAATAAGTTGTTAGTTACGAAGAATATTATATCGGTGATCGATGCTTGCTTACGCATGTATGAAGTAACCAGCATCGGGAAGACATTTCACTTTAGCTTCTTTTGATAAAAGAGCTCGAAATTTATCACAATGCAGTAATGCAGTTAATCCTCCGGCTGAACATCCTGAGAAAACTGCCTGTAGTTGAAATTCTTGTGAGAATATGAAGTCAATATTTAATCTCTAAATTATTGAGTATCATAATCAACATTTTTGAATTAATAGAGGATGAAGAAAAGTGGCAAATCGTTAACGTTGCCATACATTTTGAGCATTCTTCATTCCTTTTGCTAGCAAATCGTCCATGACAGCATCGAAAATTCTTGCTCCTCGATAGTGTAACTGAGTTTTCTGATCAACAAACATGATATTAATAAAATCTAACTGGAAAGATAAAAAAACTAACATTTTCTTTAGAAAAGTATATTTTGTAAAACTTACTGGATCGACTTCTTCCACATCGCCAGTAAAAGATGAACCATCACAATATCTAACCTTAATTCTGTTCCAATTGTAGAAATCTACAATTCATAGGAAAAAAAATGAAATTCATGAAAAGAAGATGCATTGTTAGTACAAAACTCTATAGTGTATTCATTGTTCGACACGTCTCAGTGTCTGAGATGATACTGATACATATGATAACATATGTGTTAGTGTTGTTTGTGGTGTATGTATGTGTTTCATAAATTCAAAATAGTACCTGGATTAAACTCTTGCTTGTCATTTAAGATTCCTGAAAATGGAAGACTAGTAACCATTTCTTTAGATGAACCTAAACGAGTAGTCTTTCTAGCAAGGCATGAAGTGACATCGTTGCACCATCCCCCTCCCTAACATAAACAAAATTTGAAACTAAAGTTCATCATCAATAAAATTGAATCTTTTAATATTTGTTTTAAAAAATGTAAAATATAATTATTGATGGAAATTTGTAGAAAATGACAAACCTCCATATGAACTAACCAACTGTTAATTCCTGTTCCATAACCTTTGACTAAATGGTAAGCTGGTGGACTACCATCCAAACATACTGCAAAATATTTGAAATTTTAATTTTACAATTGTCATAAACATCTATAAAAAAAAGGTATAATAGATATGAGATGAATAAGAGTGTGCTTATACAATTTTATTTTTTATTTTTAAAAGAATTAATTTTACAATTTAAAAAGGAGTAGTGACGCAGTTTATTGTTCACTTGCCTTCTGTTTATATATTGACATGATTTTTCATGATTAATATATTAAATAAGTTTGGTAGAATAATAGAATTCTTCATTTTTGCTACTATTTTTATGAAATTTAAAGGATCAATTTCAAATATAATAAAAAATAGATCAATTTGTAAAATTTGAATAAATTTAAATAGATAAGTTTTAAAATTTATACTAATTAATAAAGTTTGAAAAACATAAAGATCAATTTGCAAAATTTGAAAAACTTATAACCAATTTAAAATTTATAGAGTACTTTAGTTGCTAAAAGTACAATGATCCCGTGTTTATTTTGTTGTATTATGTGTTTTAAAGTATTTGGCAACTAGTACAATGTGTTTGGCAACTAGTGTTTTTGTACTCGTTTGATCCAATGTGTTTGGCATTTCCTTTTTCTTCTTAGATTATCCTTTTTAGTGTCGAATTGAATTATACCAATATAAATATTGAGGAAATTTCAAAATCTTATGTAAAATTCACTTTTAATTGACAAAATGTTTTATAAAATCCTTTCATTTTATAAATTCTTCATTCTTAAATATTTATCATCCTACCACTAACTCAAACAATTACTTTGATAGAAGGATTTTATATAATTTGAATTGTCTTCTAAAATTACAATTACTGAAACTTTAAAAAAAATATTTCATAATTTTTTTTAGGTTTAAATAATCTTTTTTCATCTATATAAGTTTATGAGTTTTTGTTTTTCATTCCTATTTTTTTTTTTCATGCAAATAATTCATAAATGTTAAAAATCTTTTGATTTTAGTCTCTAAAATTAAAATCCACAGATTTTCTAACAGATTTTAACTTTAGAGACTAAAACTAAATAAAATTCAACATTTAAAGACTTTAACCAGAAATAAAGATTCATCGTCGAAAAATAAAAATTCATCAACTTACCAACTAAAACACTATTTAAGGTTTTTTTTTATTTTAAGATTTTTTTCAAATTATCATCAAAACAATAAAATTTATGTTAAATGATTTGAATTGATCTCTATTTAAGGTTTTTTTTTATTTTAAGATTTTTTTCAAATTATCATCAAAACAATAAAATTTATGTTAAATGATTTGAATTGATCTCTATTATTTTAAAAAATCTTCAAATTTTCATCAAAACAATAAAATCTATATTAAATGATTTGAATTGTTCTCTATTGTTTTAAAAGAATCTTCAAATTATTATCAAAACAATGAAATCAATATTAAATGATTTGAATTACTCTCTATTATTTTAAAAAATCTTCAAATTATCATTAAATTAATGAAATCTGTATCAAATGATTTGAAGTGCTCTCTATTATTTTAAAAACTTCAAATTATCATCAAATAAATGAAATCTATATTAAATGACTTGAATTGCTCTCTATTAGTTTTAAAAATCTTCAAATTATCATCAACGCAATAAAATCTATATTAAATGATTTGAATTGCTCTCTATTATTTGAAAAATTCTTCAAATTATCATCAAAACAATGAAATCTACATGGAATGATATTATTTTTTAAAAAAATTCTTCAAATTATCATCAAAACAATGAAAACTACATGGAATGATTTGAATTTCTCTTTAAAATTACATTACTTTTCATCCAAACACATCCTAGATAAATATGAATAAAACACATATAAGAATGAAAAAACTCCTAACCTGCTCCTTTTGCAACTGCATTCTGGAGAATAGTGATAGGTGCATAACCAGCTTCTGCCTTCATAAATAACAAAACAATCACAGCAAGGTTTAACTTTAACCATTGCCTCAATCCTTTGCTCTCCATTCTACATAAATCAAAAAAATTATGAACTAATAAAAGCTATGATATTTCATTCTTTTATCTACCTTTCTAAAAATCTTTCATAACTCAGCTGGAGAAAACAATCTATTTTTTCAATGTACATATCAACCCAATAATGAATAATTATTTTTGTGAAATTCAATGCTCATCAACCCGTTTTTATGAAAAATATCTTCATTTTTTTGTCAAAGTAATATGGAATATTTGAACATTATTGCATGATCTTAGGTTGATTGAACATTTGATTTAATTCAATAAGTACATGAACTATTATTGACTCAAAAGAATTAAAAAAATATATTTTTTCAATAACTGAAATTTCACATAAATAAATGAAATGTCGCAAATTCGAACATACGACTTATATCTGATGTTCATCGGACACAAAACATACAAAAATTCTAATAGTATTTGAAAAATGAATAAATGATATATTACAGATTCGAGTATGCGTTCTTGTATTTGGTGTCCCTTGAACATAAAACATACATAAATTTTAATAATATTTTAAAAATAAATAAGTAATATGTTACGAATTCGAATTCTCATCTATCTTAAACACAAAACATATAGAAATTATAATAATCTTTTAAAAACGAATAAGTGAGATGAGTCTCTATATCTAGTGTCCCACGGACACAACACATTCAGAAATTCTAATGGTCTAGGACATGAAAAATCAAACAAACAATAAACTTGCATTTTCTCATATACGAATATTTGTTACCAAATACTAACACAAAAAGAGCAGAAAATAATAAGAAAACTACCTTCACTTCAGAAGAGCTAGACTTTAATCCTTGCGATCCTTGCAAGAGCTAACTATAAAAATTGAAACTTCACCCGACAAATATTGTTGTATCAAGTTATATATAAAATATTTATAATTCAATTAATTACATTAAAAAATTAGTTAAAAAACAATTGAATGTCTTAAAACCGTTTTTTTTTTCTTTTCAATTTGTTTCCTAAAACATACATTCTATTTTCTTGTCAAAAAGACACCATTCCTCTTTTGTCAAATATCTAAAAATCTGATTATATTTACCTAAATTAAGAAATGTATATAAAAAAGACAACAATCATCTTTTCTCAAACAAAAAAACGTATATTATAAAATGTGATTAAATTTATATTTAAAAAATATATATTTTTAGAAAATTACTGTTTTGGACTGGGTCGGGCTAACCCAAAAGCAAGGATAAAGGCCCAATCCAAACGGCCCTACAGGGGGTCACGCCGACCAAGAAGGTACAACCTTGTCCACGACATCCTCAACGCAATGCAGTCCAGCTCGACCTTAGCTCGAGCGCTCCTCGTAGGGCTGACCATGACCATTATGCCACCACCAGGTTTCCGAAAAGACAGCGTCCCCGTCCGCCCGTACTTCTCGCAGAACACCCAGGAAGGAGACCACGTGCGGGTCCCCACTACACACGTAGAACCTGACAGTTCCTTCATTTGGGCCAAACCTGCCCGGCCCAATGAAGGGACCTTGGCCCAACGTTGGGGGCTATAAATACCCTCTGTTCCTAGAGGGTCAGGTATTCATTCTCTTACTCATACTCATACTTTTTGCCTGCTCGTACTCCCACTTACTTTAGCATCGGAGTGCCTTGCAGGTACCCCCTCTCCGCATCTCGTTCAACTTCAGCTCGGAGCCAGTCGTGACGGTCCAAGTCTGATCAGGTAAGATCAGTGGCACCGTCTGTGGGAAACTAGCTTCCCTGTCTTACAAACAACTCAAAGACCAAAGCTCGACTCAACTACCACTGTCATGGCTGACCAAGCTCGCGATGAACAAAACGTCCGCGTCGTCGACACCAACAACGGCCCCGCAGACAAAAACGGACACCTTGACAACACCGGCAACCCCGATCATAACACCATCCCTGTGTCAACCGCCCCCGGACCTTCAACCCACCGCGACGGAGCTACCGCTTCATCATCCTCGGTCCCTCCGCCACTCGAAGAGGACGATGCGGCTTACCGGGCCGCCCAGTTTCAGGAAGTCCCCGTCCCCGCCGGGGCGGATGCCATAACCCGAGCGCTGTTCGCAGCGATCAATCAGACAAATTACCTCATCTTCGCCCAAGGGGAAAGATTGAGAGCACTTGAAGACGATCGAAGACCCCCGAGGAGGCACCGAAGGCCCCCGACTCCACCTCCTCGGGTGACTGAAGTCCACTTCCCATCTCCCCCACGGAGACATTACAGAGATACCTCTCGAAGCCTGTCCCCCCGCCCAACGGGGAGACGTCCCCCTTTGGAGAGACAGCACATCACCGAAGCCGGAGGACGGGGCCGCCCCCGCGAGACAGGAAAGAAGACACTCTGGAGACGGTCGGGGGAGAACCAATCAGCGAGCACCACGCTCGAGAGATACCCAACACGACCAGGACCGTCATGCCCGACAGTATTACAGGTCCCCGTCTCTGTCCCCGGAACAGAGCGACGAGGACGACCCCCGCGGTCCCCTGTCGCAGGCTATCATGGAGGCGCCCATCCCTCCGGGCATGGAGAAGCCTCCACACTTGAAGGAATACGATGGAGTCGCGGACCCGGTCGACCACATAGACGGGTTCGAGGCCATGCTGCACTAACACAATGTCGGGGGGCCCATCAAATGCCGCCTCTTCCCCACGACCCTCAGGAAGGCAACAATGGACTGGTACAAAGGACTCGCCCCGGGGTCAATCACCTCGTGGCGGAACCTGAAGAACCAGTTCATCAGTTTATTCACAGCATCTCGGCGACATCCGAAGACCGAGGCGGCTCTCGAGGCCATCATCCAGAGACAAGATGAAACCTTGAGAGAGTTCATCAACCGCTTCAACCGCGAAGCCATACAGGTCCCCTGCACGGACCATATGAAAAGATATCTGCTGCAGAGGGGGCTCCTCCCCGGCACGGAGTTCAGAAACGCCGTGGGCATCGAGCCACCCAGAACATTCGATGCCCTCCTCGAAAAAGCCCAGGCGTACATGAATTACGAGGAGAGAGAGGCGGCCAACCGAGCCTGAGACTCCAGGACTCGCGGGTCCAACAGCAACTCGCGCCAGGAAGCTCCTCCTCCTCGACGAACCGGGGAGAAAAGAAAAGAAGACAGACCCCGGGAAGTTCGGGAGCAACGGGGACCCTCGAGGCGCTTTACCGAGTACACTCCGCTCACAGCTTCCCGCGAGCGCATTTTGGTGGAGTGTGCCACCACGGACTTCATGGACGGTGGCGTAAAACGTCCTCGACCTGCTCCCGCCAAGCCCGGAGCAGACAAGAACAAATATTGTCAGTACCATAGGAGCCATGGTCATATGACTGAGGATTGCGTCCACCTCAAGGACGCCATCGAAACCCTCATCAAGGGAGGGAGGCTTGCACAGTACCGGCAAAACGACGCTCCTCGCTGTGACGCCCGGGAGATAGGAGAGCCGAAGGAAGACGCCCGACCATCTGACGAGTCGGTCCCCATCCAGACCGCCTTCTCCGTGACCAGACCCGAGGACTTTGACGTCCCCGAACACCTGCAGGAGCCGCTCACCACACACAGCAGGTGGGAATATTTCCCCTCTGCCATGGTCATCAACGGCGGAGGATTCAACGACTTGACCATTAATTCAGCAAAGAGGAAGCTGGACGAGCTGTTCGACGCGGCACCCCCACAAACAGTGACATTTGAAAGGGTGAAGGGCAGGTCAGAGCCCATCACCTTCTATCTAGAAGAGCTCCCCGGGGGAGCCCCCAATGCAGTCATCCCCTTACTGATAAGGGCAAGAATGCCAACTTCGATGTCCACCGCATCCTCGTCGACGAAGGAAGTTCCGTCGACGTAATGTACAGCCAATTGTTCTGAACTCTACAGTTGGACGACTCACATCTCTCGCCATACGTAGGGTCGGACTTACAAGGTTTCAATGGCTCAACCTCCAAACCTTGGGGATATGTCGAGCTCCTGGTTACATTCGGTGAAGGAACAGCGACAAGGCAAGTCAAAGTACGCTTCCTCGTCATCGACTGCCCGTCCCTCTACAACTGCATCCTGGGAAGACCGACACTGGCAGAACTGACAGCGGTGCCCTCCACGATCCACCTGAAGATGAAATTCTACACCAAAAGGGCACGGGTAGCTACTATCCAAGGAGACCTGGCCGCTGCTCGAAGGTGTTTTAACGCTGCATCCAAGGGACGCGACACTGTCGATGTAGGGACAAGGCCCGCCAAAAGGACACGACAGGAGCCCGACAAGCAAGAGTCCGTCAAGGAAGAAGTCCAAAAAGCTCCACCAAAGGTCGACTCTATAGCTCTGGACGCTCGTTTCGACCAGGACGAACCTCCCAACGGCGAGCAAGTTCCACTCCGACCAATACCAGACGGGGATTTTAAGCTCGTCCCCCTCGGCACAGACCCGAGCAAAGGAGTAAAGATTGGCAAGGATCTCCCCGATCTGGCAAGGAAGCAAATCAAGGCCTGCTTGCGCGAGAATGCTGACCTGTTCGTCTGGAGCGCCACGGAGATGCCTGGACTCGACCCTGAGGTCGCCTGTCACCACCTCGCCATTGATCCTGCCGCTAGGGCTGTAGTGCAACGTAGGCGTAAGCAGTCTCCAGAGAAAACGGAGGCTGCTGAAAAAGCTGTAAAAGACCTCCTAGAGGCAAATTTTATTTCTGAAGCCCGGTATTCCACCTGGCTGTCAAACGTTGTACTTGTTAAAAAGAATAATGGAAAATGGAGGATGTGTGTTGACTATACCGATCTCAACCGGGCTTGCCCGAAAGATACTTTCCCTTTACCGAACATAGACATGTTGATCGACAACTTGGCCGACTACAAAACATTGTCGTTCATGGATGCTTACTCGGGCTATAACCAAATCCCGATGGCCGTGGGCGACAAACACTGCACGACTTTCATGACCAGCTCGGGCAACTATTACTAAAACGTAATGCCCTTCGGACTGAAAAACGCCGGGGCAACCTACCAACGCA